CGGTTCTCAGAAATGGTGAACCGTGAACCGCCGGGCCGGCCCGGCTGTTCACCCGGATTAAAAAAAAAAATTCAAAAAAAGCAAAAACGGCTAGTGAACCGGCCGGGTGAACCGGCCGTTTTTGCTTTTTTTTGAATTTCCCCCCCCCCCCCAATTTTTCCTATAAATACCCTCACACCCCAAATTTGTTTTTTTTTGAATTTTTTTTGCCCCCCAATTTTTCCTATAAATACGCTCACACCCCAATTTCTCCTATAATTTACTTATTCATCAAATATTTCAAACTTGTGCTTCTAAATTGACTTTTCATTTATTTATTTTCCCTTTTCTATTTAAAAGTACTTCTTTTAATTTACTTATTCATCAAATATTTCAAAAAAAAAAAAAAAATTCAAAATTTCCGGGCCGACCCGGAACCGGCCCGAACCGGCGGGCCGACCCAGCCCACTGAACCGCCCATTCCACGGGCCGGTTCCGGTTCCGGGCATTGTGAACCGTGAACCGGTTCGAACCGGCCCGAACCGGCCCGTGGCCGTGTCTATACCCATCAACTATGATTTTTTTACATCTCCACTCTTATGGTGTCAAATTCAACATAATAATCTAGATTTCGTAGAATGTACACTAGTTTGTACTCGTTTTGTGTAAAAATACAGTTTCTGATGCACTAGTATCTGATATATACAAGCCAAAAAACATATATTATGATCATCTTGCTTCAAGATGTAGAGATCGAAATGGATAAAACTGGTAGAAAAGTGATGATATTCCATATCATCTCAAAGATTCCACTAAATTTGAAACCGCAAGGGTGGACGTGCAAAAAGATTTATAGTTAACGAGTGGTTGTAATTACTCAAACATGAGGGGGTTTTTCGTAATTTGACAATAAATAAATAAATAATAGTGTAGGGGTGCATAAAGCCCATAAATATAGATGGGCTCGGCCCTTTTAAGAAAATCCAAAATCCTTAAACCCTAAATCCCGACTGAAAACCTTCGATTTGGGGGGAAATTATTTACGCTGCTCTGAAACTCGAGAGGTTAGAGGTGTAATGGCGGAGACGAAGCAATCGTTTGATGTCAATACTTCCGGCAGGAAAAGGAACTCAGGCAAGAAGAAGGGAAAAATGTCGAAGAAAAGGCAGAGAGTGATGCCGCAAGGTGCCGATAACAAGGTTCGAGTTGACAAAAAAATGCAAAAAATGTTTCAGAAGAGGGCTAGGGATTACAATTCTTCCGGCGAGGAGGAGGAAGACGAGCAGCCTCGCCGCCGCCAGTCCGGCGGCGCAGCTGGATATAATAGAAAGGACGGAGGAGGCGGCGGCGGTGGGGAGGAGCGGCCTCCTCGTGGGCAGTTTCCCCGGCAGACTATTTATAACAAGTTTCAGAAGAAGGACGATGAATTCGAAGGTGGGTTCTCGGATGATGGGGAGGAAGAGGATCAAGGGGCTGATGCGGAGGAAGTTTCGGAAGACGAAAATGGCGGGATTCAGCCCGGTGTTACGAAGTTTGCGGAGGGAATTAATGCTTTTAGATTGGCGTTTAAGAAAATTGTTAAGAAGAGTGGTGGTGATGAAGATATACTGGTAAAATCAATCTCTCAAGAATGTATTTTTTATTTTTTTGAAAAAGGGGAAATTTGATTATGAAGTTTGATTTGTTTGCAGGGCCCGGTATTATCTGCCAATAAGAAGCTAGTAGCTGAGAAGCTAGCTGAAGAAGAATCGGAGAAGAAAGTGAAGGGCGAGGCGAAGAAGGAGAAACATTTGGTATTGGATTTTTGTAATTATTCAACTCTTTTGCTTTTCCATAATTGTTCCTCTGTGATGGTTGGTTTTTTGGTTTTAATTTTGCTATTCATTTGATGAAAGATACGAGAGAAGGGGCATTTGGCGGAGGTTCCGAAGCATTTGGATGCCCATGAAAAGTTTCTATTGGGAATAGCAACAAAAGGAGGTAAACAATTATTTTTCGGTTGATGAAATTGCACTGCATGTTTAAATTAATTGCATTTACGTGTTTCGGAGACTCATTGTTGTTTTGTTGTAATGCATGTTTGATGGTCTACAATGATCAGTGGTCAAGCTTTTCAATGCTGTAAGTTAATGTGCCTACTTTGTATCAATATCCGATGTATTAACACTATTTAATCGCTTCTGTTTTTTCCCCGCTTTTTGTTTTGAACTACTATATGTTTCATGCAGGTAAATAAGGCTCAGAATGCTAAGAACGGTTTAAATCCATCGAGATCGAAAGATGAGAAGGGTATTTCAATAGCTTTTAATTTCTTATATCAAATTATTTCTGTTTCCTACAATTCCGTTCTTGGTGTAATAAGAGCCACTAGAAGCTACTAATTATATGTCGTTTTAAAATTTATTTCAAGTTTTTATCGACATATATTTGTTTTTCTTCCACACCATATGATTTTCAATTTTGAGCATGTTTGTTATATATATATATATATATATATATATATATATATATATATATATATATATATATATATATATATATATATATATATATATATATATATATATATATATATATATATATATATATATATAGATAGGAAGCATTCTTCTCGGAGTTGGGCAGGACACCATCGGGATCCGTTGGAACTGCTGTTAAGGTTCTGTTCTTTTTAGCTCTCCCAAAAGTTCATTTGCTTATACGACCGATGATTTATGTGCTAAGAGATGATGAACTTGCGATCTCAATGAAATTTATCTTGGTTTGACAAATTGTAGGTTGGCACGTCCGGTGGCTCTGCTGATGGTGAAGGTCCTGCATGGGCCCCTCTGCGTGATAATTACATGCTAACGAACCCCAAGTTGAAAGATTGGGATAAGATGCAGGTAACGTTTTATTATGTTAATAGTCCCTATATGTTCAACTGTCTTACTTTGAAGTCCCTGAAATATCAACCTTTTTGGGTAAGTCATGATTGTCGAGATCCAACTGTAGATGGACATGGACATATGCGAACATGTTCACTAATTTAAATCGTCTCAGAGTGGACTTGGAAAATGGTATTTAATCTTTGGTTTTATTTTGGGTGAAGCAAAAACTTAATATCCAAATGCAAGCAATCCCATGTATACGTATTTTTAGTGGTGCGCTGACTGAAAAATAGTGACACGATTTGAGTTTCGATAATGAATTTCAGTCTCGGGGACTGAATTAAGTTGAGAAACTAGGGGGGTCTGTAATGAAATGAATTTCTCGAAATACTAGAGCTGTTTTTATATTGTAGTAAAAGCTGATGCAATCACTTGTTGCCTTTAAAATTTCTTTGTCTTTTCATCATGTGAAAATTGTGTTCTTTGTGGTTTTAGGATACAAATGTTGAAGACGAATTCGGGAGGCAATCAGACGCAGATTCTTCGTCCGGTGACGATTAAAGCGTTCGTTTTGACATTTCAATTTCTTTCTACTCTATATAACGGCGAAATGAGTTCTTGATACTTGGAGCGAGTTGACTAGGTTTACGGGTGATCTTGTTCAACACTTCCAGGAGTAAAGAAAATTACACCCCCGACCGCCGTTTGATTATCCAAATGTAGATTTAAGGGAAGAAAATCCATGTTCAGTGTTTTATTAAATATGAATATTCAGTTCAATCAAAATACCAGGTTTCTTCACTTTTGTTAAATTTGGTTAATGTTCTCTTGTCCTAAACAAACAAAGTAAGCTTTAGCTGTCTTGATGTTAATGTCACAAGGTCAACTTTATTTATTTATTTATTATTTATTTTATATTATTTTTGTAAATCACAATGCTAACATATTATTTCTTCACTACTTGTTAGGCTAACAAACCTTAGGTAACAACTCACTTAGTCATGTAATGAATCCCTTGTTAGGCTAACTAACTTTAGGTCACAACTCACAAAAGTCAATGAATTAAGCAACAAATTTCAACTCGTTCGAAAGACACACGTTGTACGTGCCGATATATACAAATCTAAAACTCATCCATAAATATGTACTTCACCGAGTGTAGCATAATGAATTTGATACAACTTACAAATTTTGACAAAAAATACAAGTCACTAAGATTACATAACAAAGCTTTTTCCATATGAACACGAGTATTTATGCTGCCACATACTTTCGTTTTTCTCGTAATCCGACATTATACTGGACGTAATTACTACGTTGCCAAGTATAATTGCCGTCCCACGATATTTTTTGCCCACAAAGGCAGAAAATAGAAAGAAATATATTGGGAAGTTATATATGTATCTATTCCCCACATACACGAATAATAATTTACACCATATGGTAAATGCAGTCACGAATAATACTTACCTCTCTCTTTTTCGTTATCGACCAACGTCTGTGACTTTGCAATTTTAACCCCCCCCCCTGTGACAAATTCAGATGAATTTGAGCAAAGAGATTTTCTTTTCCTTTTTTTTTTTAACTCAGAAGCTTCGGCTTGGGCTTAAAGGATCGTAATCGTAAGCATCACCAGCCTTGACAAACCGCCCCTTAACACGCCTCCTTACATCCGCTCTCGCCTTTCGAGATTCGTACCTTACTTTCTTCTCGAATCTGTCATTTCAATCGTAAACGGAAAGGACAAAAAAACATTAAACCATCATTCGGCTAGGGGGGCCATGGCCCCCCCACTGCTTCTCAAAAACTTGTGTTTTCTATAACTGCCCCTCGCTAAACACTCACTATTTAGGGGGTCAAGACTCGGTATTTGGTGGTAATGTGCTAAAAGAATAATGCATTATAAGGGGTTTTTTGGAAATATTAATAACATGGGAGTTTTTTTAGCAATTTTAAATGAAGGATGACTTTTAGAGGAAAACGGAAAAAAAATTTACTAGTGGAAGGAAAAAAATAAAACGAGAGGAACGAAACTTACTTTCGCGCCTTCTTCTTCTCCCTGTAACGCATTACGGCGTCAGTTCTACTAGTGGAAGGCAGTGAACTATCGGGACCTGGAGGGTACCATGGCGGCTCACCTGCGATTGCCATTGATGAAGAAACTCCGCAATCTTGAAAATCTCCACCGTTGATTTCAATTTCACCATTAATCCCAGAAAACGAAAGGGTTTGATGCAACTGTCTTGAATAACGCAAGTTTGGCTCCGTTTTGCAGCTAGCAAATGAATCTGCAGATTCGGCATTACTGCAAGCTGATTGCATCACGTTTGCCCCTCCAATTGACGACCCCTAGCAAGTATTAATCAATATTTATGAGTGTGGAATAATAATCCGATATGTCGAACGTCTGGCACAAATGAAAAATATTACAAGCAATGCCAATACGTTTGTATTATTCATTGATCTTTTAGTATAAGTTCGATCATATACCAAGTCGTCCACCGTACTAATATTTAACGCTTCTTTATACAACAATTGAAGCACTGAAAATTGTGTTTAGGAAAGCAGCGAACACGAAAAGAAGACAGTGCCTACGTAAATTATTAAGAATTTGCATAAAATTTTAAAAGCAATCTTGCGCGGAAATCAACGAGGAAAAATATTTCATAGATGCAAAAGTTCATCCGCAACTATCGTTGTATTTTCGACTTTTCATTAATGTTCCTTACATTTCTTCATGATAGTAACAAAGTTAATCTTCTACTGTTAAACGGTATTAATTAAGAGGAAATACCTCAGCAGCATAAGCACCGTGACAGTTGGATCCGGACATGTCTTTTGTCCCGAATATTTCATCGATACCATCGTAACCAAAAAGTTCCGGATTATCATAAGCTACACCGAAAAGTTCTTCATAATTTTCGATATTCAAGTCGACCTCATCCATACAAAGATCATCATATAAACCACCATCCTCGCATACAGCAGGTCCCTTTGCTCCCGATAAGAAAACCTGCACGTGAAAAACGAGAGTATTTTCATGTGCTGTAAATAAAACGGAGGAAAATAATAAACCACCAATAAGTTGCTATTTATCGTAAAAGCCATATGTTCTAGAATATCAGAAACGAATTAAAACCCAAGAATCTAATCAATCGAACGTTTACGCAAAGATTGCTACCTTGGGCGCAGAAGAGCTCGTAGATCCAGATCGATGGTCCACATTCAGCCTATGATCAAGCAAAGGAGTTAGTGAATCCATCCACTCCGTTGATTTATCCGCATCCACATTATTCGATTCCCCCAAAACTTGACTATTGTTATTCTTTCCTGCGGAATTTTCACAAGTGATCGGCGGCGTTTTATCGGTAATGCTCAATAAATTAATTCCCTGCTCGCACGTGGAATCTAAGAGAAAAGACCAATTCGCCGAAAGTTCGGAAGCCGAAGGGCAGCCGGTGTAACAATTAACAGCTTGTCTTTTATGCGCAGTATTTACGTTCGAACCATTACCATGTTCCATCCAATCGCAGTTGCGGCAAAGAGATACCTTTTCCTCGACGCATCTAACGAAAGCTGGCTGAGAATTGCATCTTTCACAAACAAGTGTCCTCGAGTGACGCTTCGAAAGGGCATTTGCGGAATGGATATTTCGGTCACATGATAAACATAAACTCGCTGCATCGGACTGACAGTAAACTATGGATCTCTGTTCTCCGCAGAACTCGCACAGATAACCCATTATCGCGATTCGAACTTTAGTTCCGATAATTTATTCAAACGGGTAGAAAGAAGTTAAACGATGGTCCGCAGCTTTATCGGGAGATGTATCATTCTCTGCAGTTAAATGGCGCAAACGAAAAATATTATCAGAAGAATGCTAAAAAAGATTACCCATCATTATTCGAAACGAAAGGAATACGAGTCTTGGCAACGGGGCTTCGGTAAATAACAAATATCGATAGCAATATTCCCTTTATGATACATAAAGCCAGGTTACTTTTACTAGAGGAAAATTTTTGCAAGAACATATTCTTTATTGATATATATCACCATAAAATAAATAGGTGTCATAAAAATAAAATTAAAATCCATTCAGATAAAAAAGGAGATGAAAAGGTTACTCCAAGTCCCCACCATGTTGGGAATCAAGAATCCAAACAACAAGTCAAGAATTTAAGCAAAATAAAATCAACTTGTTCTAGTTCAACACAACCAAGATTATCTGCAAACATTTTCTTTTCTATTGGAGAGAGAGAGAGAGAGAGAGAGAGAGAGAGAGAGAGAGAGAGAGATTAGTAATTCATAAAAATAAATAGAAAATAGAGAGAGAGTAGTAATTCACAAACAAAAATGGAAAATTGTACCATCGACAGAAAAATTAGCAGATTTGCAGCTGACAATTGGGAAATCCGGACCATTTCCAATCCAGAAATACTCATATCCAAAGAACACACACAAAATAAAAAATAATTTTTTGTTTTTAAATTATAAGAGAGCTAAAAAGAATAACCGAATTTTCAACAAGTGATGTGTTTACCTAACTCAGCAATCCGAAATTCAGAAGACGGAAGAAGAAAAAGCACATGGGCTTTTCTTTCTGCACCTTTTTCGAATCTAACTTATAAACCCTAACAAACAACAGAAAGATAGATGGCACTTTTCCTACAAGAGGCCTTTTTTTTCTCTCTCTACTTCTCTCTCTCTCTAGCTTTCTCTATCTAAGCAGCTCGAAGAAGATGAGGGTGAAGTGAAATCTGTTAGGCTGAAACTTTTAAGGTATGATAGAGAGATTCAATATTATATTAATTATTAAAGTGCTAAAAAGTGCAGGAGAGAGAGAAAGTTTCTTTCTTTTTTCCTTTTTCTTTTTTTTTTCAGACGAAGAGGATGTGAGGTGGGGCCCACTCTTTTTTGTGTCTTAATTATGGGTTGAAATTGGAATAGTCTTTGTGATTTCCACCTGTACATTTTCAGATTTTTGCAAATTTTGTTTTAAATATTTTGGATAAGAATTAGAGTGTACATTAGATTTTGATTTTGGAAGTTTTTGAAAAACTTATGAAGATTGCATTTTTTTTATGTAAATTACAAATAGGATATCGATGTTATTATGTATTTTATATTTTTGGTGATTAAATAATTATATTTTTCGAATTTCTGCAATTCCAATTTTCGAAATTTTGATTGTCAATTTTTTTAACTGAATTGGAATTAATTTTGTAACTTGTGAAGAAAATTAAAATTCTTCTGTGAGTGCTAATTCTGACCCGTCCGATTTATACATTGCCTCGAAAATAAATTTTTTTGCGAAATATGGGCACAAAATACACAATGTGCAAACATTTAAAAATTAACGTGATCATTTGAGTACTATGGTTCACCTCCTCGACGGTGTTTCGTATTTATAACAAATCGGCCAGTCATAACAAGTCTGATTCCCGTCAATTAGCTAGCATGAAACTAAGAAATATCACTGGGTTAGGGTTCGATGAGAAGCTATAGATTTGTTCGATGATTTGATTAGATGAGGCCTTCAATCTTCCGATCAAGACTTTACCAGATTGCTTTCGCGTTTGGTGATTCTGAAATAATATCCTGCTGTGATTTACATTTTTAGTAAAATATATAAGATTCCACAATCTATTACGTACTTGTGGTTCATGGATGGGGTTAGTTGATTATCGAATGTCAACCCAATCCTAACCATCAATCGACTTTGATAGATATAAAAAAAATCGATTGACAATCCAATTTAAGGAGGTTGGATGGTGGTTGGTACCCGAGTTTGTTGATTCGGTTCATGGGTTGTATTGACCATCATATCTTAAAAAAAAGTAGTACAATGATAAATGAGAATTAAAGTAGAAGATTGAAAAAAAAAAAAAAAAAAAAAAAAAACTAAGCAACTATAACAAAATTGATGAATAATAAATAAATAAAATTTATCATTTTTATCCGATCAACCGACTTTTAACATATTACCAAGTGACAACGAGTTAATCCAATTATATATGGATTGGATTCGCATGATCGCCAACTTTAATAGGTTCGTTGATCAATGAATCTACGTAAAAATATTATGGGTCGAAAATTTTACATTTAATCATGTACATGTAATATGTAAATGGTAAAAATTTACATGTTGTATTTCATTGATGCAGTATAGTATATTTTTGTCGTAAATAATTAGGTTCCAAATTTATGATCAACTTGTAAATTACATGTCAAGTACGGACACGTGGCGGGGCAAGGAAAGAGATGAAGGCAAGGCATGAAGCAATTTGCATGAGTTCTTTGGCCGAAAAGGTTTTATAATCACTAAAATTGACAATTAACAATTTAATAAGAAATGGAGTTTAAGATAAGGCACTTTTTTTATTAGCACTAACTACTTCACAAAACAACGACGAGACATGTGATATTCATTAATTATTACTCCATTAGTTCACTAAAAATGAAATTAAAGAGTCTTCTTTTGTGAGATTAATAGAATTTAAAGGGATCTGGTTGTAATTAAATAGGTTTAGGGAGGTCAATTCATTACACCTTACAAAGGATGGGTATCAAAGTAAGATTTTTGTAGTACGCTATGTAGCAGGGACACGGAAACAGGAAAACTGACGCGGGAAAACGGCAATGTCCTAAAAATTGGGATACAGAAGCTTGAGGGAAACGTGTAAATACTATAAATATATGGGTGTATTTATAAATATACCATATAAACATATACAAGTTTTTATTTATGTATAAATTATTTTTATATATTTTCATACAAACATATTCAGAATAAATTTTATTATCGATTTGCAACTGATCATTAAATCATGTAATTTATTAGGGAAGCAACAAAAATATTTGAAAAATTTTGCCATTCAAATATGTCTCTAACTTTATAGAAATTGCAAATTGACCCATAAGGTGTCCAACAGGTATTCTCGAGTGTCGGACACAAAACGTGAGCGAAACGCGGAAATGTTAAGAAGATGAAGTTTCCATGCTACATAGGTAGTACGTGATAAAGGGCAAAAGAATTAAATTGTAAACAGATTAGCAGTCCCTAACGATAATTAGCATCAGTAAACACATTGCAATGACAAACAAGTCTAGCAAACTAGTACATTTGCTGTAATTTTTAATAGGCACACAAAATGCAAATTTGAAAACTGCACAAGCACGAGATCGACTATCAATTCAAGCAAATCAAGATGATATATTCTCGTGTACGTTTTTATTTACCGTTTTATGAAGTTGAAGACTGAACCACCTGGGAAATGCACCTGCAGAGCCGTAAAATCCTCGTGTATCCAGGTCTGATACGCTTAGCTGCGTCTCTAATTTCATCAAAGATTTGCTTAGAGAATGAACAATTGCGACCGCCAGCTGGCGATGCTGGTTGAACTGGAAGGATCTCTGAAGGATAGATTCCGCTGCAGCCAAAAAAAAAACGTAGAAATTAATTTAGTGAAAAATGGATTTGCTAGAATGTAGCCTGGGAGAAACAACACTGCTAATCTAATATCGGAAGTTTCTACAGTGCAAGTTATTGTAGTGCATGAAATAAAACCGTTACAAACAGAGTTTATTAACTCGTAAGAATTCAAGAAAAAGGCAAAGCCTACTATCCGTGGCTCAAATATTCCAACTGGCAAACGCTAAAGTTATAAACTAAACCGTAGGTGGGACAATTCTTCAGCTAATTGAAATACATTACACAAGTGAATAAATCACAGAAAAATAAATAAATAAATAAGGGAATAGGGCTAACCGTTTCAAGCAAGACATGTCAAGTGTGAGGAACACCTTCCTCCCCGAGTTATAATTAAGGAAACAAAGCATCAGATCAAGCCTCTCAGCTGCAATCAAAAGTTATAATTGTGATTTAGAGGCATAATTTACCTGATTTATCAGTAATTTCATTTCCATCTAAAACATGTGGTCTATGAGTGCATAAACTCACTTTTCAAGAACAGAACATGATTCGAGTTTTAAATATTAAAGAATAAACAAGTGCTCGTATATCTTTTGGGACCAAAGATTCAAATCGAACTCAAGTTGTCAAAATAAGATACTTGTTTGTATTGATAGAAGGTCGAAGAGGACCACACAACAGGTGGTATACACATAAATCACAAATTTGGACCGCAAAATGTATTGAGCAGAGAAGAAATTACCATTACCATTTACCATTTACCATAAATCCACTTTACAAAAAATTTAGGTTATAGCCGAGAACCTAGAAGACTACAAATCATAAATAAATAAAAATGGCAGGGATATAAATGAACACACTTACCGGATGGCGAACAAAAGCTTGACTGAGTCAGATCTTGGAACTCTATCTGTGCTGATTGTACCTCCTCAACCACATCAACCAAGGTACCGAGAAGCGAACCGGTCATCTGCTGATCAGTGACAAGGAAAGAACAGAAGTGAGACTAATTATATTATGCAAAAAGTTAACATTCTAGCTTCTAAACTGCCACTCATTCCAACTATTCAATTTCAGAAAGAGATGATGATGCACAATTTTTACTTACTTGGGTTTCCCATGCCAAAGTTTTAGCACCAACAAATTTGCAAGCTCTCTCATCATTAAACACAAAAGCAAATGCTGTGCAAGCATCCATATTTGGGAAATTCTGCGAAGCATAGAGGCTTTTGCATTAAGGTATGATCATGAGAACTGAAAGAGCATAAAATTAAACCTGTTAAGGTTACAGCAGTCACCTTTATGATGTTTGTCTCATTCAATTTAAACGAAGTTGCGACACTTGATGTAGTACCAACGATAATGTTTATACTGTAACAATATTGGTAAAATTTTATGAGTTGAAAGGGTGAGAGGAAGCAGAAAAGAGAATTTTCTTATCATCGCAGCTTAAAAAAGCATATGCGAAAAGTGAAAATTTCATGCAAACCTCTGAACAATGAAGTCAAGGTAGCTGAGTACAACATTGAGCTGGCCATTCGTAGACTCCAGACTTTGGACAACCCACATCTGGAGAAAGAGAACAGATCACTAGCAGTAAGAGTGACAAGACTTATCTTTTACTGTTCTATACATATTCTGTTTCACACTCAGTAAGGGGATTGTCAGTCAAACAGTTAGCTAGTGTCTGAACATCAGCTATCAATCCTTGCACAAAGATTTACATACTGTTAAGGCTGCAGTCTCCCCAAATCAAACCGAACACCAAATCCACTTCCACCAAGAAAAAATGTGAAACATAAAGACGCAGTATAAGCTTATAAGGAGTAAGATAACAAAAAACAATTTCTTCTAGATTCATTACTGTTGGTAGTTGGTAGTAAGCAAGAGTATGAACCTGCAAATCCTGACGAAGAAACCTGAAAGAAGCCCTTTTTATCAAGTGTTTATTAACTAAGGCAATAGTGTCGACACAGCTTGGTTCAGCTTTCATCTTGCAGCATGCATGAAAACTTCCTATCAATTGCAAAATCTTTCCATCTAAAGCTTCTAAGGACTGGCTCATTGCAGTCAATTTTTCATGGCAAACCTGGAATCATAAGTTGTGTGTTACACCGAAGCTTAGCTTCTAAAATTTACAAAATATCTTGACAATAATACATTCAATACAATATGATAGAAAACAGTATCTAGATGTTTACACACACAAATAAGTAGTTGTCATAACTAGACGTTAATAGCTCATAGCACTAAACACATAACACCAATCAAAAACCCAGATAGTACTCTTGGAGCTTGCCACATCTGCTCTTTCAGGTATAATCTGAACTTTTGACTTAAGGCCAAAAATAGAGAAACCAAACCAAACAAACAGAGCTTAGGCTTTCATACTAGCAAGTCCATCTTTTGTATTAAATTGAACCCATGAATTTACCAGCTAATAAACCAGCCCTGTGTTACGGATACAACATGCCTATGTCACAGATGCTGTGTCCGGATTGAAGTGATAATACCACCACAAGTTGGCTGTGGCATTCTGCATGTGGTGATGAAGATTTCTTTCTTACAATTCCTTCCGTATATAATGCATCAATTGGATGCAGAGGCCGGTGTGCAGTGGGCTTAAAACATATACTAATTAATTAATCTGCAATGCAGCCCATTTAGAAAGACAGAGAATATTGAACTTTACCAAAGTCTATCTACAAGCACATACTAGTTACTTGATAAATACTAGCAGCAGCGTGAAACAAATGGGTTTAACACCCAGAAGGCCAGAACTATCTTATCAAGGACGGAAAATACAAAAACATGATGCAAGGCATAACAAAGATGGTAGATTTCGTGCTGCAATGAAACGATCTTAATCTCCTCTTTTGCATAATGTAGATAGAGAGGCAAATTATGCCGGCAAATAAGATTAAAAAATAAATCCAAAGACAAACAGTAAATTGCATATCTTGCAGGTGCATATTAAGTCTGACTTAATACCTCATGTCCCTTCTTTGAATTGACAGCCAACGACCGATCACCAACAGCATCAACTAAGTCATTAACAGTCGATGTCTTCAATCGCTGTGACACAATATTTTCCTTCAATATTTGTGACTCCTTGGTCGTAGAGTTCAATAGCTGCAATCTTTTCTGCAACAGATAGACTACACTCGTGACAAACACTAAACCACAAGTATACATACTAAAACAAAGACAAACTGTACCAACAATCTATCCCTCTTCGCATGCTTCAGCTGCAATTTTGCTTTTCCGAACACAACTTGATGCAACATTGATTTTGTTTCAGCTATTCTGCATCAAAAATATGTAAGCGGGCCTACCATTTTTAAAAGCAAGTTTAGATCATTGAACCAGAATAAAGAAACATCATGCAGATGCAACAGACGTTTTGTTTCAATCGCTTACAGAAGGAAGTACTTACTTATCAAGTTGAACATCGTGAAGAACAGTTGTATTCTGAAAATAGGAACATATAAATGAACTCAGAGCGGTGCAGCTAGCAATTAAGTGACCAAAGCAGTTAAGAATATACAGAGGCAAAAATTTCATAGGTATAATCACATCAGGAAAAGCACTTAACAATGACCAAGCAGACCTGGGGCATAACTCCAAGGTGAAGCATCTCATATATTTTTGACCGCTGCTGATGAACCAACACATCTTCCAGCACATCAATCTGAAGTATGAAAGATATTAATAATACCGTAGCAAAAATAACATACAGTTCAAAAACAAGACAACTATAGTTCTACAGAAAATATTCAAAAAATCATCTTATAAAATAAAGAAGACTACCATTATGTTATTATCATAGTTTACAGAAGTTATAAAGTGGATTTCCATGTATTTTACTATTAGAATAAGAAATGACTGGAAACTGGCAGCATACCATTGTACGATTAAGCTGATCAGCCGATCTAGAAATTAACCTTTTCATATCCACTGAGAATTTAGAGTAACTCTGCAATTTCAGATTCAAGATTGAGTGAGACAAAAAAAATGTTGGGCTATCGTGTCAGTCAGCCCTCTAGACAAAAAACAACAGCATATAAGTAGAACTTGAATCAAACATACATCACTCCACTTCTTCTCATGGCCAGCCAGCGCTGTTCTACCTTCATTTGGATACGATATTGTCTCTCCATCAGAACTCCCAGCTTTCTGAAGTTTGGGACTCCGTTGTGTTATGGCCATTTCAGTCCTATGTTGTGTATCCCTCAGCAGCAATTCTACATTTCTCTTGTTCGCAGAACCACTCAGCTGAGTAGTTTTAGGCGAGGATATTCTGGAGGACTGTTTATAACCAAGCTTTTTCCTTAAAGGGCTGGCTGTAGGGGGCTCAACTGCACACTGATATGACCATAGTGAGCACCAAAAGAAACCACAATTAGAAACCATCTCGGCCTCTAAATGCAATCAGATTGGTTCGGATACATAAAAAAGACACAGTATTTGAAAGTGTGAAACGGCTCTGGAAAATAACTAACCTTCTGCAACCTTGGCTCCTCTAAATTACTGCAGGCAGGTGAAGAAACAGAACCATGAGAAATAGCTCTGGATTCTGTACTGGGTACGTTGTCCTCAATTCTCAAGATGTTCCTGTTAGTTATGTTAACTTCGTCCAGATTTGTGGAATGCATGAACTGGAACTTGTTCTCCTTAGTAGGAGTACTGAAGTTGTCAATGGTTCCAACTACTTCCTTCCCATTACAAATATCAACTTCCGCTTTATCCATTGCATTTACTTCAGTTAAGTTTTTGAGGGAGTTAGCTTCAACAAAAGGTGAGCTTAACTCTCCAGTCATTCCCTTAGATACCGCATCCCTGTCAATTGCATTTGAGAGGTTAGTATCAGCAAGATTTCTCTCTGGAGTTGAATCATGGCCTTTGTCAGAGTCTGAAATTTGTTTGAGTGGACTCCTTAGCAATAAAGGTTTAGATTGGAAAGATAGAAGACCCGGTGAAGCTGATAATTTCTTCTCTACCATTCTTCCTGCAGGAGAAGTGGATTTAGGAGTAACAATTGCTTTTCTACCTTCACCTGAAGCAATTTCAGCCAGAAAGGACTCAGTTTCAGTTGATGGTGCATCTTCATTTGAGTGTTTGGATGGAAACAGACCATCCATCAATTTATTTCCAGACCATGTGATCTTAGAGGGTGAAGCAGCAGGTCCCCCATGTCTTGATTGATCTGTAGAGATATTTTTGGGAATCATTTCATTTGGCAACTTTCCACCCATAATTTGACCCAAATGTTCTTCCAAATGATTTTCACCACTGGTGTGATTCAGAGCCTCAGCTCTGGCATCATGCATGCTGAAAGCATAACTCTTACTCGGATGAACACCGAAAAGTTTCTCTTCAGTAACTGGATCTTCAACAAAGTTGATTCTAGAAATATTATGAATTTTTCCAAAGAAGCTATCAATATTAGGGGATCTTAAAAAATCCAGAGATTTTACGGTGGAACTGTCAACTTTAGCCCTGTAACTAGAAGAGAAGGCAGATTTCTCGAGCAATTCCAGTTTAGAAATGCTTTTCTGGATGGATGTTTCGGTCTCTTGACGTTCTACGGTTTCACTTCTCATTAAGGAACCAGGGTGTTCTAGCAAAGGAGTTGCCATTTTCCAATAGTTAGCTGGAGAAGCAGTAGTCAGAAGAGTCTGTTGCAGTTTGACTGGAG